GGGGAGTAGCACACTTCCTGGGTGCCTGAAAGATATATTGTACTTGAACATTTTTTCTACTTACGGTTCTTGACTGTTATATAGACCAAGGTTACCATACTCAGTGGGGTTTTTCATTTGTATTATTTTGTATTAGTTTGTATTATTTTGATGAAAGTCTAATAAAATATTTTTGAAAAAAAAAGCATGCATGATTCTGTAATGGACATCACTTCAGGGGCTAAGGAATACTTTGAAAATCACTGCTTGTGAACACAGTTCGCCATGTCATCCAAAATTGCTAGTTAAAGCTCTATCATGCAAAGAAGAGGCCATATCTGAACATGATCTTCTCTAGGCCAAAGCTCATTTAAAATGGTCTGTTGCAAAGTGGGAAACTGTTCTGTGGTCAGACGAATTGAAATTTGACATTCTTTTTGGCAATCATGGGTGCTGCGTCCTCTGGATAAAAAGGATAGGGATCTTCTAGATGGTTATCAGCGCTCACTTCAGAAGCTTGCACCTCTGATGGTATGGGGGTGCATTTGTGTGTATGGAATGGGCAGTGTCATGACACCAGAGCATGCGCGCCACGGCGCACGCTAGCACGTGCACACGCCAGCGCACGCGCGCCACGGCGCATGCTAGAACGTGCACATGCCAGCGCGCGCGCGCGCCACGGCACACGCTAGAACGTACACACGCCAGCCCACGCACGCCGCGGCGCATGCTAGAACGTGCACACGCCCGGTTCTAATGATGGCGCCAAGAAGGGCTATATAAAGCTGAGACACCCAGATCTCCCTGCTGACTGATCTTCAGCTAATACCGTGTTCCTGGATCCTGTTACTTACTGTTTTTCCTGTTACTATACCCGGCCTGCTTGACCTTGCTCCTGCTCTGTGTTCCTGACCTCGGCTAGTCCTTGACTTCTCTTCTGCCTGCACCCTGGATACCACGCTGCCTGCTAGTTACCGACCCGGCTCGCCCCTGACTAAGTCCTGTCTTCTGATTTTGTACTTCGCTACCAGATTGTTGTTGACCCGGCTAGTGTTACCTTGCTTCTAGGATCATCTTACTAACCTGCACCCTGCTCAGAAACCTCAGCTACCAGTCGCAGCTTCGACAGGAGTCGCAACCCACCGGCACTTGTGCCCCTTCTGGTCCTCACGCACCTGTGCCTACTATCCAGAGGTGTTTGGACTGGAGCAGCAAGAGAGGCCGCCCTCGTCATCTCAGGCTCCATCTAAGGTATGTGACAGGCAGCTTACACATCCAGAAAGGGACCATCAATGCTGAAGGATATATCCAAGTCTTAGAGCAGCATATGCTCCCGTTCATACGTCGTCTTTTTCAGGGAAGGCCTTGCATATTTCAGCAAGACAATGCTAAACCGCATACTGCATCTATGTCCGGTGCTTAACTGGCCTGCCTGCAGTCCAGATATTTCAGCAATTGAAAATAGTTGGCACATCTTAAAATGTAAAATACTACAAAGCAGATCCAAGACTGTTGAACAGTTAGAATCCTATATCAGGCAAGAATGGGACAACATTCCTCTCCCAAAACTCCTCAGTTCCCAAACGTTTATAGAGTATTGTTGAAAGAAGAGGGGATGCTACACCATTGTAAACATGGCCCTGTCCCAACTTTTTTGAGACCTGTTGCTGCCATCAATTTCAAAAATAGCTTTTTTTTCTTAACCTGGATTTTTTAAAAAGTTTAAACGTTTCATATGCTTTATTTTCTAAAGTGAATAAAATATGGGTTTATGAGATTTGCAATTCTGTTTTTATATAGATTTTACACAGCGTCCCAACTTTTTTGGAATTGGATTTGTACAAACAACAATGTAAAAAAATGAAAAAATAAAATGAAAAAAATATTTCCTTTATGTAAATATGAGGTCTGCAGACATTCATACCAGACAAGAACTGTGTTACTTTCTAGAAATGCAAAATATATGACTTTTTAGTACAACTATTGCTATTTGTTTTGAAAGCAATTGTATTCTAACTTACCGTGAATGATAGGGCCCTTTTCTTTTCTTTTATCCTCTGAATGGCATTCCTGACCTATAAATAAATAAATATTCTACATAAATATCCTGGACGTTTGATCATGGGTTTTCTTCAATCCCAAACAAGGTATATCCCATTGCAATCCAAACCGGTATCCCACTTCAAGAAACTTGGTGGGTGCTGTAAAGACCAGCGGATGGCACCACATATATCAAATAAAGAAAAAGTCACCAGCACACCCAAATCAGCCATATCAATCCGTCTTTTATTAACATTTGATAAACATGGTATCTCGGGAACATGCGACATTTCGGTACCACATGGGTTCCTTCACTAAGCAAAGCGATGTTGAAGGAACTTACTCATGAAGTAACTGAACGTGGTTCTGTAACATTGCATGTTCCTGTGATACTATAATTATCGGATGTCAATAAAAGATGGATTGATATGGTGGATTTTGGTGTGCTGGTAACTAACTTTTTCATTCTTCAATCCAAAAACACACACCAGCCATCAAGAATGGCATTTGTTTTTCTTGAAGTTTGTCAAAATAATATATTGTCTACTTACTGTATAAAAACATCATATTGTTTACATAGATAGAAGTTCCCATATTCTGCATCTTCTGTACCTTTATGAGATTATAGGTGACACAGACAGGCGTATTTGATAAACAGCGAAGTGATTTAAGTGATCATTTCCATTACTTATGCTATCCAGTCTGTACTTATGTCAACTCACTCTAAAGTCCAGCGAGTCATTGGGGGAAATTTAAAACTGGAGCAGACAGAATCTGGAGCAGTTGTCCATAGTAACCAATCAGTTTCTCTCTTCATTTTGTTTGGTTAAGTTTTGAAAATGAAAGAGAGAAGCTGATTGGATGCTATGGGCAACTGCTCAAGAATCTGTCTGCTGCAGTTTTGCTAAATCCCAATCATTCTGTTACTTACATCTCACCCTGTAAGAACAAAACTTGAGCAGACAAAAACTGGAGCTGCGGCCCGTAATAACAGCTTCCCTTTTCAGTTTGTTTAGTTAAGCTTTGAAAATGATAGCAGCAGATTGGTTGTCATGCACAACTGCTCCAGATTCTGTCTGCCCCAGATTGATACATTCCCCCAACGTGTATTTTGCTGTGTTGGCTTCTGTTTCAAAAGTGTTGATAACATTTACTTATGGACTGCATAGTACTACTTCCCATAATATCTGCTCTCTTAGTTTTTGTATGTAAACATGACACAGTACTGCTTCATATCTTCTGCATGTTGAGTGTAACTCTTTCTCTCTGTTTTATTCTGTATGTATGGGCACTGCACATTGACTCTTTTCTTGTTCCTAATGCTCGGTGTAATTTTCCGCATTGGTTGTGTGCTGGAAATACAACAGCCTATGCTGATATGTACTGATTGTATTACTGACATTTAGAGATGTAATTATGTATTTTGAACAGTAGATGGCGCTGTAGTGCAATGTTAGTCTATGCTAGTTTTCTATATGCATGCTTATATATGGGATACACAGGAAGTTCTATCTGGATATATGTTTTCCTCTCTAGTATGCTGTGTTCCTGTATACATACAGTACATGTAACGTCCTGCTAAGCAAGTCAAACTTAATTCAGCATTCCTCAAGATCTCAGTGCTTCATCTAAACACATAACTAACAGGTTGATGTCATGCCACCAGCATAAGGCTTCTTTAGGTTTATTGTTGTTCCTATTATTTTTCTCTTTGGGCTCTATGTAGTGGCAAAGCAACACTGCTGCTCATCTATCTACAGACTATTTAGCAATGTTTTGACCTCTGTGATGCCTCCATCCTCAATAATCCCTCATTCTGAAGTTGATAAAACAGGTGCATTCTGGGAAACTAGACCCCATTTTCAGCACTCAGAGGAAAGAGAAGCACCTGTAAGAAGCCAGCTCCCATCTATAACATATGTTAGTGGAGGATAGAATATGTTCCTCTCAGGCACCATCGCTGGTGAACTTAGACTTACAACCATTAGAAGTCTAATTTATCTGTTTCATAACTTTCTTTTCAGTTTCACCCAACCTGTTCTTTTCAATAAAGCTTCAAGATTTGTTTACAGTTTGATTTATTGAAGAATAGGATGTTTTAGCTACACGTCAAGCTGTGCACAGGCCACAGGGTAATGTGCTGTGGGAAGAGATCAGTTGTTATTCTGTATGGATGCTGCACAGTAGCAATTCTCTTTGTTATGCAGAGTGTAATTGTTAGTATACTATACTGTATATTATGTCTGAATGAAGACAACATGGTACCACTTCCTAAATATCCTGAAATTGATGTGTGGCCACTATTCTCATTTGCTAAGTGCACTGCACAACTTTCTATGCCTGCTCAATATCTTTTTTTACTGTATGCATTCACCATTTTATGGAGCATTATTAAGCCACACCTAGTTTTTGCTGCAGCATGTGGCATCCTATAAAATGTGCTCCCAGGTTGACATCTCTGCACCTAACAGCACCTGTGCAAACAGGCTGTTGTAAGCTCTTTATTGTTCTGTTGTTATCTCATGTGATAGCCCTCTAGCAGTCCCTAAACAGTAGATATGAAAATTAGGCTTTATATTTAGAAGTTAGCCATCTGTAGCTGGAGAGTGAAATCTGCACAAATACAATTATGACATCCTTCCATCCTTCATTGGCTGGTATTATTTTTTTCTATTGATTGACAACACAGCCTAGTCTCTTGGCACCCCAGGCTGCATAGTTAAGTAAAGCCTGTTAACTAGACAGGCTTTAGTGTCACACAGAGGTGCTGTCACAGCAAAGAAGCAGAATTTAGTTATTTTATCAGAAAAAGTTTAGAAACTGACAGATTGGGTAAAATAAATTAGCTTTCGATGTTTTTCAATAATGACTTTCAAGTTTACGTTTTCAATAAGGTAGTGCATAGTGTCTTTTTGACAGGGAAGCTTTCATTGTAAAGTGAGTACTCACTGAACATGCCTGACTGTATCTTAGGCAATCATGCACTTTGCACATCATCAGTATTCATATTGTGTCAGATGTTTGGTAACATTACTACAAACTTTAAAATAGCATTTAGATTTAACAAATGTTTTAACACTTTAGCAGTTACTTTTTTATGTAATAGCTAAGACAGCAGCTCTTAAATTCTAATTTGTGTTGTCTTACCTCACTGTTATAAATGGCATAAATCAAGAAAATATAAAGCCCCTGTAAGACAGAAAGGAAAGATAAGATTATATTTTCCCATCCAAATGTACATATCCAAAATTCTGTTAACAAAAGTAACATGAGAATTAGCTCAATTACTATGAAGAAATGCTTGAATTTTACTGTTTACTTTTAAACCAACAGCAACCCTTCCAATTAAGTACCAGAGAAGGTATGAACCGATATGGAAGCAAAAGACCTTGCGCCCTATAATTGCTGCAGGCATTCCAGGTGGTCATTTGGGATACAATAGAATAAGAGCTACATAGATATTTGTATTACTACCTTTAAAATTCTCAAATCTTTTTACCTTGTATTTCCCCAAATGTTCTTGCTGCCAATGTAGATTGGGATCCAAAGGACCAGAAAATCCATCAGAGCAGGTATTAGGAAGTTAAAGGGGAGGCCCTATAAAAAAAAATGCCTACCTGTAGGTAGAAGGTCCTGTTCATCATGACACTAGTTTCTTGATAAACGCCTCCTGCATTTTATATTGTACAAAAATGTAAGTGGCACTAAACTCAGGAATTAAATCTTAAAAATGCATTCAATTACCCTAACTATTAACAAAAATGTAGCTTATTTGTGTATCACTCGGCTGTAGATCTTCAAATCATCTCTGAATCAATGCTGACACTGTCCTTCCTTCTGGAGGGTGGCTACTTTTGTTCCCCATGGTCCCTGTGTATGTTTTAAAGTATCCACCACTCCAAGCTATATTACTATAACTGGACTATAACTTCAATACAAATTAACTAACTAAATGTGAGATTGTAGTCCATCACAGGAGTGAGCTTCGAGTGGTGGCTACTTTACAACACACAAGGACCCTGGGAAATAAAAGTAGCCACCCTCAATAAGGAAGGACAGTGTCAGCAACAATTCAGAGATGATTTGAAGATCTACAGCTGAGTGATAAACAAATAAGCTACATTTTTGTGAATAGTTAAGGTACTTGAAGTTTAGTGTCACTTTCTTTCGTGTATTAAGTTTTTATTAAGATTACAAAAAGAACAAAATATAAGGAAGGAGTACAAAAATACAAATACAAAATTGAAAAACAAGTTGAATTGGACAAGATTACAAATTCCAAACAGCAAAAAAGGGGGTGGGGGGGAAGGAAGAAGAAAGGGAGAGAAAAGGGGAAGGAGAAGGAAAAGGAAATTGAGGGGAAAGGAAAGGAGGGGAATCACAACCAAGCAGAACACAATGTCAGAGAGACAAGAAATTAATGAATATCATCAATAGCTTAAAATATCATAAATATTAAAGGTGCACCGAAATTAAAATGTCAAAACCCAAACAAAACTGAAATGAAAAAAAAAAAGGCTGGCCGAAACTGAAAATGTTTTTTTTTCTAACTTTTCCAAATTTTTTAAATATTATATTTTTATAAACTTTTACATTTTTTTATATTTTATTTTAATGTATTTATTTTTATTAAATATTTTATTTTTACTTTACTTTTAGGGGCTTCGGGGAAATATTAGGGGTCTAAACAGACCTCTGATATTTCCCTTTGAAAATAGAAAATTAGATTGAGAATACAGTCCTCACTCTGTTTTTCTGCAGCCCCTGTTATAAATGAACAGTAATCCTCTATACTGAGTGTTCCTGTTCATTCATAACTTGAGGACAGAGTATGCTTACTATAGCCACAATCATGAATGAACAGGAAGTGAGGTAGATCACTTCTCATTCATTTATAATTGAGGACACAGTAAACATACTCATATCCTCAATTATTTACAGAGTAGAGACAAAGATCACCAGCACTCAGCGATATCTTTCAATATGTCCATTTAATTGGACAAAACGTCACTGTAACAAAAGCCAACGTTTCGGGGCCACACAGGGTCCCTTCCTCAGGGCGAAAAGATGTGGCGTCACATCTTTTCGCCCATTGATCGCTGCGCACCGAGCGGGGAGTAGAGAAAGCAGATGCACCACTATTTTGGCCAAAAAAGGGGCACTTTTGGCCTTTTGCCAAAAGTGCGATTTTCAGCCGATACTTTTCGCAAGCCGAAATATTGGTGCATCCCTAATTAATATAATGGGGAGACATTGACAACACTGTAAGGTAATCATCAGTAGTTTGAAATTCCAACCAGCAGGCCCATGTGACAAAAAATGTGCCATACCGGTCCTTAGATGTACCAATCAATTCCTCCATAAAGCATACCTCAGCAATTTTCTGAAACCATAAATACATTGGAGGGATGATTACCTGTCTTCAGTATAGTGAAATTAACGCTTTGGCCATGTTGAGTAAGTGGGGAATAAGGAACCTCCTATACCGGCCTATTGACTCATCAGTGCAATGAAACAACATACACCATTTTTATATTTTTATACCAACTTTATAGTAGATCCCGTTATCCTGTCAATATACGTAGCTACTTGTCGCCAATAGGCCTGATCAGATGGCAGTACATTCTTGATAAAGGCTCCCTTCATTTTATAGTGTACCAAAATTAAAGTGGAGCTCCAATTTTAAATTAAATACTTGCTAACTCAGGGCAGAGCTTGATGCAACAGCCGAGCCTCTCCATAAATTTAAGAGGGACTTCTCCACGAACCACCAATATAAGGATGAACATATCCAATGACTACCAATATAGGGGGGACTTTTCCACTAAACAAGAATTTAAAGGGGTACTTCTACACTGACACTGTGAAAGGCACACTTTTCCATTGACCACCAATATAAGCGGGCACTTCCACATTAACCTAGAATCTAAGGTGGCACCAATCTAAAGAGACTCTTCTCCTCTGACCAGCAGTGTAAGAGGAGACTTCTCCACTGACCACCAACCTAAGGGAACACTTCACCAATGATTAATTATGTAAGTCAAAAAGCCAAATACACAGTTGAAATATATATAAATAAACATAAAAAGCTTGCAATTATCTATAAGTATCTGTTTGTAGATTGTAATTACTAAACATTTCCAAAGGTGCCTTTGTTGTTATTTTTAAAATCTGGGTAAAGTTCCTCTTTGGTGTGAATGTGGCCTTGCACTCTTGCATACAGTGTTTACCCTCTCACTATTAAGGTGCAGTACAGAATATAATATGTTAATTTCATCCATCTAACTGTTCAAGTTATTAGTGCAATCTAAAAAAAATATCCCCTGAGTGAAGTTCTTTTCAGCTGAATTTAGTTATGGCATGTATCAAAAATTCTAACGGTTTTCAATATTTGAATGTGGTATTGTATTCAAGCTATTCATTAATAGCAATAGCTGATCAAACCTGAAGCCCTGCTTAGTGACATCCACTTGCTGTATTGCCGTTCAGAGCTTTCCTTTGTAATTTTCCACTTGTGACTTTTATTTCAATCCTAAGTGGATTTGGTTTAGCATCAGGTTGACTAATGCAACAATTAAGGCATTTGTTTCTTGACCTCTTTAAACAGCTTGAGCTATGATAGACATCACCAAGTATTACACAACCCGCTTTTTAATATAAAGTGTGCACCTCATGACTTTTGCTACACATTGGAACAAAAAAGCAATATTGGTTGCTGTAGAAATGAATCAATTATCTACTGCAAGAGTAGTTTGTGCAAGTGTAGAACATGCATACAAATCTCTTTCACAGACAGAAGAGAATTATAAACATTTATTGACCTTGTGTCTTCTATATATGTGAAAAAATGTTATGCTGTGTTGAAAAAAATCATCTAAAACCCAATGTTTTGATAAGATCTTTCATGAAAATAGGAGCAGTATAAGTTACCTTGTTACTGCAGTAGAACCTGACTGTAAAATAATGGCAATGGGGCAAGACCAGCTAATGGAAAAAACCTGTAGAAATACTGTAGGTCACAAAATGTACAACTGTTACCGGCCCTGTTCACTTGCTGGTGAACAGGCCGAGTAAGGGTTTCCATTGAAGGATTCACATTGCAATCCAAACATATCAGAAGCTAGCATTATTCTCTGCTTCCTGCACTCTGCCTTTTCTTTAAAAGAAACAAAGCACAGGCAGGATTCATACCCTTATACCAAGCAGGAGACAATATAAAAAAGTGATATATCCAGCCGATAATGCCAAACATAGATCACCAGAGACTTTCTTCCTCTCAGTTGACATTTAAAAAGCATTTGGACTTATATAATCTATGTGTTACACAGATAGGGATTCAGTGAGGAATTTATTTAATCGGTCTCTGTACTACATTGTACTACACTCAGTTAAATACTGTGAGTTTGAAAGATAGCTTTTTGATATAGAATTGGCCACCAGACAAACATGCCCACCTTCTTCTATACTTTTTGTACGTGCCATGGAATCCTTGGCAATATACACTGAGTGGCCAGATTATTATGACCATCCCATCAGTACTTGAGCCACGAGATGACTCCACGAGATGACTTCGTTGGGCCGCCTCGTGACTCCATGCAGGGCAGCAATCAGAAATTCGATGTCCGCGGGTGTAGGCCCCGAAAAAGCTGCGGCCTCGAGTAGCGGCACTCGTCTGGCGGTGTGCAACCTCAACTCGCTGCCCGCTCCCAGGCTCTCCCCACCATCCTCCCCGGAATCTGGTGCCCCAGATGACTGTATGGGGACACCTCCTCTGCCCGAGCAAGTGGGAGACGTGCGAGCCAGGGACCCTAAGCCACCCAAGACCCCCGCAGAGCTAGATATTGGGGCCCTCCTGCGCCTATGACCCACCAAGGCACATATTAAGGCCCTGGTGGCAGAAATTAAGAAAGCACACAGCCGTGATTTTCAAGGCCCGCGGCAGAAGGTAACACACAGGGCCACGAGGGTCGAGGAGACTGAGACGAGCACGGTGGCTATAGAGGGGCGACTTAAAGCCCCGGAAGAGTCACGGGACATACAATCTGGTGTGATATCGGACATGCAGCTACATATCGAGAATTTAAAAGATAGAAAACGGCACAACAATGTGAAAGTGAGGGGCATTCCTGAAGCTACAGGGTCTGAAAATGTGCATGATACGGTGGCGGCGATCTTCAACAAACTGCTGG